ATTGTAAGTTGCGCCAATTGAAAGTTTATATTGTTCCTTGATGCAGTTGACCTACTCAAACTCATATTTCACACACGCAGCACCTGTAAATAAAATTTTAAGGCAGACATTGCATGTATCAATCAGAAACAAAGTTAGATGAAATTTAATTTAATTTTTTATAGATTTTTGCTTAACATGAAATGCAAAGCAACATATTAGTTAAATGTCATCATATCAATCCATCTCATAAAATTTGAAGCAACCACCACTTTTATAAAATTCTCATCATTGTTCATCCATAGCAAAGCTCATTTCACATCGCTCTTTCTCTATCTTATCACATGTGGCATAAGAAGCTCATTTCATCATATTGAAGCTCGTGCTTCAAGTTGTTTACTGTTGACTGATCCAAAATGCATATGATTTACTATTTCTACAAACCCTGAAACACTTGTACAAGATAGATAAGAACAATTATGAGGCTGTTACAATGACTTATTTCTGACGGAGAGAAAGTGCTCCCTTCTGATTCCCGATAGTGCTTGATGTAGTTCTCGGATGGAAAACACGTAGGAGTAAAAGGCGTGGCAGGAGTTATATGATAACTTACCCTTGTGAATTGGGTTTTTTATTGCATTAGGACAACATATGCAAATTCCAATTAAAACCATCCAAATTAAAGAGTGAGTCCCACTAAAAAAACTGTAATTCAGCTGTTCTAATTGGACACCGGACCCAAATTGAAGTCATGTATCCTGACGCAATAAAACCTCTGAATTGGGTCGGAGAAACGGAGTTTCCGCGCATTGCTCTGAGTGTGAGAATTGAAGCTATAATTGCATTGAGGGTCAAAATTAGATGAAAACGGAAGGGGATCGTGGAAGAAGCCGAGGGATTGGGAAGAAGCGGAGAAAATAAATTGAAGCATGATGTGGGCGAGCAGAGTGGTAAAGAAGTTTACGGGATGCACGAGAGTGGTTTATTACCCAGACAAATAGAAGTTTAGGTGTTAGATATGTAAATAGGAAACAATTGTCTGGTATGCACTTAAATCCCTCTTAATTTTATATGCTCAATAATACCTGAAATTGCGGGAATATGCCCATTTTTGTCTTTGGGAAGTATATATGAAAGTTTATCTTAGACCAAAGTACTTTTAGAATTTGAAGAGGTGCTGTTATTTTATATAGAGCGTTCTCTAGTGATTGTTGTTCGCGATTAATAGTTCCAAGGGCAATGATCTATGGCTAACTTTTATCTCCATTATACTCTAATTGTTCGAGGTTAGCAATGTTAGGCATTGTGTTATCTAGATTTGCAAACACTTGTGCTTTGAAAACTGAACCTAAAAGAATTTTGTACAATGAATTACTAGTCTCTAATTTGACTAATAGTTGTTTGATTTAACATGTCCTTGCAAGGTTGGTGAAGTTCTTATTAGGATTCGAGCCAATTTTGGGCAAGCTTAAATCTTGGTTTGAATATTATTCTTGTACATTTCTTGGAATTTGCTCTTTTGAGTATGCTTGCTATCCATGCACATTCTTATAGGCGTGATAAAAAAAATAGTTGCATAATATGAGATTAATAGTTCTATTGTGAATATTAATGGTGATGATACATTGGTCGTTGTTGAATCTTATATGATTAATCTTTCAACATGCTATTAAATATCAATTCAAATGAGGGCCTTTTGATTAGACAGTTTTGATAGATAACTCTTTTATCTTTTTTTTTTCAGTAATTTTTTTTTGCTCCTTCAAATTTAAGCTTGGTTGCTTGTATTCACATTTTCAAAATTGCAAATACAATTGCTATTATTTAATTGGAATGAATGCAATCCTAGCAAACTTTAGGACACATTTTATGGAGTCTCAAACATTTCAACTAACTATAGATTCAGATACTTTATTGCGACATAGATTTGGTTAGAGAATGACTCCATCATTATTAAGTACTAGAAATCTTACTTGACATACGCATGAACATAAGTTAAAATTAATAACCCTAAACATGATGAGACAATTCATCATAAAAAATTGCATTGACAGTATAATGAAGGTGATTACATTTTAATTTGTATTGGACTTGAGCGATATACTTTCTTAAAATATACGTAGTTGTAAGTAAGGGCATTTGATTTTTCATTTTTTTTTTAATTAAAGGAAACTTGTGCATAATTTTTATTTACCATAATTGCCATCTAATGTGCTTTTCAATTCAAATTTTAGACTAACCCTATTATAGGTTAACATGACCTTTGGTTACTATTTCTTTAACTCCCCTCTTTATGGTGGACCTTTGGTTAACATGACCTTTGGAAACATCATCTTGTTAAGACAGATATCTGTTACTCATGAATTTGTTAGAGAAGCTTGCCTAGAGTTATTTGATGGCTTATAGACTGTCTCTTCAAGGATGTGTTCTTTTGGGTCATAAGTTCAATATAATCCAATTATTAGATTCTTGAATATACTAAATAATATTTAAATTATTCTTATAATATTTTCAAAGTGATTAATTTTTCACTTGAACTTATTTGAAGTTATTTCTGACGTCATTTTAGTGAAATTGCTTGTTTATTTTGCAAGCTAAAATTTTAGTTTAAGTAGAGGTCTAAATGCCTCATTTGATTTTGTCAAGTTATCAAATTCCAAGTCAAATCAAATATGATCATACATCTTTTAAGAATTTTAGAGCATTATTTATTTTTTAATAATTATATTCAATGAATTGATTTAGAGCAATCTCCCTTGATGATAGTTTTTTCCTTGTTTTTTTATTTTTTGAAGTTTTATTACTTCTATTTTAATCCTTATTTCTCTCTCATGTGTTTTGAAGTATCAATCAGTACTCCAATTTTTCACTCATCCTCTACAAGCTTAGCAGGTTCCAAAATCTATCGTACACATTACAAACCCTAAAAAGACTTGTATCCTTTTTTGACATCCTAAACTTCTTATAGAATACTTACACAAATATCATAAATTTACTTCTAAACCCCTCTTAAACTTTTAATAAAATTAATCACCTAAAAATTAGCCCACCTATAGGTAAATATTTAAATATCATTTTTAAAGCATTTCATGCTCCAAATCACATCTATCAGGATCATTTTCTCTGGAAACTAAATTACATTAACTTATCAAACTAAAGTCAATCATACACCTGCCATTAGGTGTCATAGGTGGTGACATTAATAGCATACATTAGAGTTTGAAGAGCACTTCCTTGTGCTGCCTTCCACTAATAAAAAATTTCATAATCATATAATGACATTACCATCATCTCCATCAGGGTGAGTTTGGATTTTTTTCAATTAGAGATTTTAGATTTAGTAAATAGGCTATCTATCATCATCAACCCTAATCATAACACCCATTGCCATTAATAATTTGTTGTTTATACCGTCACTTGTTATAGACACTTATCATTAATGCTCATCGATGCCTAAATAGGTTGTTCGTTGCCATCAATATCAACGTTAATGTTACATATGCTAACAAAGTCATCTCATGTCTTTGATATTAATGTTTATTATCAGAACAAAAGATGACGTATGTTGTTAACACCAATGCTAACTTTCATTCTAATAAGGCCAAAAACCTAACTCGACAATCCCTTTGGAGTGATTTCTTGTGTAGCTTTTCATTTGGTTTCGTTTTCAGGATATATCTGATATCTTTGATTAAGCATAATGATATCATCCTGTTTGGCTTAAACTCTTCACCCTCTCCATTTCTCCTTGAGTTCGATCTTTCAAATTGTTTTCCTACTTGTTATCTCATAAATTTTTTTGATGTTTTTAGTTGCATATTCTAATTTGACAACCATTTTCTCACATGGTATCTTATTAGTTATATTCTTTTAGGGTCATTTACATGCATTCTACCAAATCTTCTTATATCTATACATCCAACATCTAAACTTTACTTTTTTTACATTTATACCCAAATCTTCCATATCACATAAAAAAAATGAAATACTTTTTCTTAGGTGTTATATATATATTGTAAAAAATTGAAGTATAGGTATTAGATATGTAAATAGTATGAATGTAAACCTTCCTTTCTTCTAATATAGGGTCCGTTTGGGGCAGCTTGTGCGTTTCAGGATAAGCTGCTTATCCTGAAATGCGACCGGCGGGTCGGCCGCAGGGGTCGGCCCCCGGCCTTCGTTTAGTGTAAAGTAGTTTCGGATAAGCTGGCGAAACGCGCGAACTAAATTGCGCAAATTAAATGGTACGGCGGCATTTTGCAAACGCCGCCCGCACATAAGCTGCCCCAAGCAGACCCATAATCCATTTTTTTTTTTTTTTTTTTTAAAAATACAAAAAAGAATTTGGAGATATAATTTGCAAATATAAAAATAAGCACTATAATTAACGTAATCCCCTTGGATCCCGCATCCGCATTTAAAAATTCAGCCAGCCGCTCGTCTCTATCTAAAATCGAAAACAAACTGCCTCAAAACTTGAATTAATCTCCGGAGGAAGATCCTTCAAAAGTCGTGCCACTTTATTACTTTCCGATTCGCCACCACAAACTTTCCCGGGCCTCCTCGGTGCTCTCGGTGGCCGCATTCTATATATGGAGGCGTGTAGACCGATGGACGGCCAAAGCCTAGCCGCCAAAGCCTAACCGACAAATCCTTGATGCCGAACAAATCAATGGAGCTTCGGCGCGCGGCTGATGAAACTTTGTGCTTCCGTCCCCGCAGATCTCCACGTTTTGTCTCCTCTTGCGATTTTCCGAAGGCCCGGTTGAAGCCGTCGAGTTCCTCCGACGACCTTGAGGTTATGAGATACAGGGGTTCTGCAACCGAGTTTGTCGAGCAAAATAGGAGAGGGGGAGGGGGAGAGATGATAACTCAAATCCCGAGACGGTCCCCCAGGATCCAGAAGGCATCCATGATCTTGAAGAACAATGATGCTGATTTTGTTAGAGTGGTGAGGAATTGTAGAACGAAGAATGTGGTTGGTGAAATCAAGGGCGGAAAAGGGTCGAAGAGGGCGAAATCATCTCTTGTTTTTCAGAAGAAGCTTCTCAAAAGGGTATGTGCGCCTTTTTTTTTCCTTTTCATGATGTATACTTTTTCAATCTATAGGTTTTTGGATTAGTTATTGATCAATTATCGTTTTTGTCCAATGAATAGCATGGGAAATCCGAGATTATTGAGAGGGTTTTGTTGTAAGGTGATTTATCTAGAATTCTATTTGGTGAGTAATTACACTAGTCTTAATGTTTCTATTTGAACGGTCCATCATAGTTCTTATTTTACATGATATTTTTGGGAGAAACATGTTCGGGTAGGACCTTTGGTGGAGCTAATTTTTGGAATTAAAAATTGTAGAACTCTGTCTTACTTGCTGTCTGATGCTCACTGTTGTTTGATACCATCTACCACCACTGACACTACAACATCAGCTTTCTGTCATCATATTCGTCGCCCTCCAATGCTTGATGCCAATGATGAAGCCCTCCATTGGTTGTCAGTTGATGTCAACGCCTCTGTTTTACTCTTTATCATGTGTTGCTTGATGCAAGCAGTTGAGAAACATTGGGGTTAGAGCTATAAGCGAATAAGTGCACTCAATGAATAACTTAATACTCATTTATATAAAACACATATATTCATTTATTTATACAATCGAACAAATTTGAACACGATTTTAAAAGTTTGTATGATAAACAAGCTTGAATATATGATTCACTTGTTCATTCATGTTCGTGAATATATTTGTTTCTTTAACAAGTAGCTCGTAAAGAACTTGATAAAATACTCATTTAATAATTGACTTCTTTGTTTTATGGCTTGTTCTATTCTTTGTATTAATTTTTTTTATATCTTATGTGTTTTAAAAATTATGCATATTATTAAAGATATAGATATGATGAAAACTCAAATAAACAACTACATGTATAACTTTAGATTCTTAATCATATTTAAACTTCAGTAAATAAATTAAACAATATTTATTTAATTATATTAGTTCTTGATTGAAATTTGTAAATTCAATTATGTTTAGTAATTAGGCTACATGTTTATTCATTAATATTAACATAGAAGTATTCATGATGGCTACGGTTTTGGAGTGACTAATGAAGAAGGTAGAGTCATTTTAGATTTTGTTTTATAAATTCAATTATGTTCAGTAATTAGGCTACATGTTTATTCATAAATATTAACATAGAAATATTCATGGTGGCTATGGTTTTGGAGTGACTAATGAAGAAGGTAGAGCCATTTTAGATTTTGCTTTAACGTATGATTTTGTTATTACTAATGATTTATTCAAGAAAAGAGATTAGCCTCTTATTACTTATAAGAATGGATCTAATAAAACAAAAATTGATTATTTTTTTATGAGAAGAATGATTCGTCAAGATTATAAAGATTGTAAGGTCATTCCAAGTGAAGATTTAAGTACCCAACATCAATTATTAGCTCTAGATTTTAAGATGTAGTGTTGTAAAATTAAGAATGCTAAGACTTTTAATCGTGGAATTAGATCTTGGAACCTAAAAGACAAATAAAATTATTTTTGTGAGTAAAATTCAAGATTTCAAAATTTGGGATGTTCATGAAGAAACAACAACAACAACAAAGCCTTAATCCCACTACGTGGGGTCGGCTTAAAACAAATGTTATGTGGGGCAAAGTAACACTCTATTAAACAAGTAACAAAAACTATACTTGGAGAGTCAAAAGAAAAAGTTTCTATAAATAAAAATAGTTGGTAGTGAAATAATAATGTGCAAGAAAAGATAAAATATAAAAAGTTATGTTGTAAAAATTGGTTTAAATGTAAAAGCTTAGAGAACTGAGAAAAATATCAAACGGCGCTCATGGAGTCTGAAAGAACAATTTGTGACACTAAAAACTCTGTTGTTAGTTGTCTTTGTAATAGATTAAATACTAAGGAGGGTGAAAATTATATGTATAAACTAGCCAAACAAAGAGAAAAAAAATAAAGAATTATCTCAAGTAAAGTGTATTAAAGATGAAAATAAAAAAAAAAATTTCTTAGAAAAAGATACTTAACATAGTTGGATGAGTTATTTTGATAAACTTTAATGAAGTTTCTGAAATTACGATCAACATTAATGATGTTAATATCATTAATAATAATAAAATGTTTCATTTTCACCGTCATATTAGTAAAAATGAAGTTGAGGAAACTTTAAAGAAAACCAAGGGTGGAAAGTCTGTAGGACCTGATGATATCCTAATTAAAGTGTGGAAATATTTAGGAGATTTGAGAGTTTCTTGGCTTACTGAACTCTTTAATATTATTTTAAAAACTAAAAAGATGTCTGAGGAGTGGAGGAAGAGTATTTTGGTCCCCACTTTTAAGGATAAAGGAGATGCACAAGAGCGTGCAAATTATAGAGGAATTAAGTTGATGTGTCATACTTTAAAATTATGGGAGAGGGTAATTGAACATAGGTTAAAACGTATTTCAGAGATTTCTCTTAATCAATTTAGATTTATGATGGGCAGGTCTACTATGGAAGCTATGCATTTATTGAGAGATTTGATGGAGAAGTACAAAGTTATTACGGAGGATCTACATATGATTTTTACTGATTTTGAAAACGCTTACGATAAGGTTCCAAGAGATATCCTGTGGAGAGTTCTTGAAAAGAAATGTGCTCATATGACTTATATTCAAGTCATTAAAGATATGTATATTAGAGCCGTTACTTGTGTTCGAACATAAGGAGGATTGACCAAATATTTTCCTATTTATGTTGGATTACAACTTTAAACCCATATTTTTTTGCTTCAGTTATGGATGGTCCTACTAGACATTTACACGAGGATGTACCTTGGTGTATATTTTTTGTTGATGATATCCTTCTCATGGATAAGACGACAGAAAAAACCAAGGAAAAACTTGAATTATGGAGGTCTACATTGAAGTCTAAAGGCATACATTTGAGTAGAACTAAAGCTGAATACATGGAATGTATTTTTAGTAGTAGTAGCTCTAGTGACAAAAGTGTAACTTTGGACGATCAAATTATTAAAAGGTGTGAACGATTTAGATATATCGATTATGTTGTTCAAAGTGATGGTGATATGGATGGGGATGTTAATAGTAGAATTCATGTTGGTTGGTTGGAGTGGAGGAATGCTTCAGTCCTTTTGTGTGATAGAAAAGTACCGTTTAGACTGAAAGGAAAATTTTATAAGATGGTGATGAGACCTGCAATGCTCTATGGCGCTGAATGTTGGCCTCTAAAAGAGAATCATAATAATAAGTTAAATATTACCGAGATGAGAATGATTAAGTGTATGAGTGGCTTTACACTTCGAGACAAAATTAGAAATGAATATATCTGTGATAGGGTTGGTGTAGCTCCAGTGACGAACAAAATTAGAGAGAGTTGTCTTAGATGTTTTGGTCAAATTAAACGTCAACCATCTGATGATCCGATTAGGAGAGTAGATGTTTTAGATTTAACTTATGTTAAGAAAGACTGAGGTAGACCTAGAAAGGCTTGGGCATATTGTATAAAAAATGATCTTAATATATTAGAATTAAATGAAAATATGATACTCAATAGGACACAATGGAGAGAAAAGTTCATATAGCCGACCCCACTTAGTGAGATAAAGGTTTGTTGTTATTGTTGTTGTTGCATTCACTAACCGCCGGCCAAAACTGGCATCCGTCCAAATAAGGACACCCATCGTCGCCCAACATGATTGCCTAATATTTTTAACCAATGTAATCCTATGACCAACATCTATGCCTATTATTGTCACACCACATTTATTAAGATTGAAATTTATTGTCATACATTTCTCGACACTTACCATGGACTAATATTAATACATTTTGCTTCTATTGATTAACTCTATTAGTTGACCAATGTCGATACCTCCTTGGTTTCTAATATTCCAAATATACCATTTCTCAACATCTATTAATGGCTTATTTGACTTTTGACATACATTTTTCCAATTGACGGAAGTGCCTTCTTTTCGGGAGATTAATTGAGTTGCTAACCATCATCATCCAATTAAATATTCACGATCAGCTATATCCGATGTTTGTCAACAACCAACATTAGATGTATATCATCGAATAACATCCTAAACTAATTTTGTTGGTCTTAGTCGGATGGTATACACCAATGTCGATACCTCTTATCAGGAGTACAATCGAACAAAACACCCAATCAACCCCACTCTTATCAGGAGTACAATCGAACAAAACACCCAATGTTACTTCTCTCTTGTCATTACTTGTCCATCTTAGTCGGATGCTCACCAATGCTTGATAATCGATGTTTGACACCTCATTAACTTTTAGTGTTTAACTTTCGTCTTTTTGATCGCTTATCCCTCCTTTTTATTTGGGGATTGGTTGGGCTGATCTTGAATAGTTGTTGACATTAGAATTTCTTATTGACTGTTGTTTGGGCGACTAAGAATGATCGATGTCTGATTTTTGTTAGCCGCTAACATATGACAATAATATTACTTGTCACAAAACCTTTTGTATTATAAGATAACAACCTATCATTATCCAACATTTTTCATCTCTTATAACCCGACACTTCACAATTGTCATGTCCAACATCCGCCAATTATTAACATCATTCAACCATTATTTTAATAATTTGTTCTTCTTTCTTATTTGAAAAATAATTTAGCAGGCCACTACTCGTTGCCTGACTCTTGATATTTAGTAAATTGTCATCCAATGTTTTCCATTGATGAAGACGCCCTAACAACATAATGCATGCCTTCTTGGTCAATCTATCTCCGACCAAGCCAATCACTTATCTTCTGATTATAACTTACAACTTATGACACTTAACATGTGATGCCTTCCGTGATTTATGTCACTATATTATATGAATGCTTCTTCATGAGAAAGAGTATTATCTATGATATTGAACACACAATAGTATACTCATATTAACAATAAGCTAGATTAGTAATTTTTCTTTTTTTGCAAGTTTTTGACATAATTTTGTCTTTAATGTTTTGTAAGCTATTCATATGCGTGAATGTTTGCTTTTTGTTCGAACTTGA